GGTTTATACAAATTATTAAATGAATTTTTTTGTGATACTAGACTTTTAAAAATAGTTTGCTTCCAATGTGAAACTGGATTAGGTCTGAAAGTAAAGTAAGGAGGATTCACACATTCACAAATTGTTACTTAACACTGTACATAAATAATGATAAATATTTAACATTATCTAGGACTATGGGTGTCCCTTTGGTAGCATTACCTGGGAAGCATTATCAAATACAATTAATTATCCCAAATTACTTAAATGCTACCATTATTCATGCAAAAATAATATTTATATTTTATAATTAACAAATGATCAATTGTATATGTTTTTTAAGTTTTCAATTATTAATCGTAATATAACAACTTAAAAATATAAATTTATTATGTGAAAGAAGATCTTGAAGATCTTGTATAAATTTCAAAAGTTACAATTTCTTTATCATAGTAAGGATTTTGGAAAAATAAAAACTTTGATGAAGGAAAATATTTCACGATGTTTTTGGAAAACATCGTGAAATATTTCACGATGTTTTCGAAATATTTCATATATTTTCAATATACGAAAATATTTCACGATATTTTTGGAAAACATTGTGAAATATTTTTATTAGTGTTATTTTTGATTTAACCGACTAAAAGTCGATTAGTCGAGAGTCAAAATTAGTCGACGTAAAGTTGATTTAATCAACTATGGACTCCTTTGTAATTGACTAAAAGTCAATATAGTCGAGTAATATCCTAAAATCCTTATATCTTTTTATTCCATTTAACTTTCCACTCTTTAATTTTTTTTTTGTTCATTTCAAGGGCTTGGAGCCAGAATGGCGTTTATACACTTTTCAATATTTTAAAAGAGCGATTTAAAATCTTCAATCATAAATCAAGAATCAAATTTGTCACAGAAATTCATCTATTTTTGACTTTATATTATTTTGTAACATGAAATTCTGTGACGAATTAGATTTTAGATGTATAATTGAAAACTTCAAATCGCTTTTTCTCGAAATATTAAAAAGTGTACACGAGCTGTTCAGGCTCCAAGCCCACGGTTTAACAACAATAGTATGTAAGTTGTGAAGCTTCAAAATCTAAATGCCATCTGTACGATTACATTGTAAATATGATTTTACAGACTTTGGTATGTAGCAAGTATTTAAGGCAGTCCCTAAATTATTAAGGTCTGGAAATAAACTGTCTCGTTGTTGGAGCGATCCTTTTCTCATATTGTTTTGCAATACTAATATTTAAATGATATAATGTTAAAAAATAGAAAACAGTTTTAAATTATTTTACTATTTTTATTTCAATTTGTTTCAAAAAAATGAATTTTTTCCATATTTTGACTAAATCGACTTTTAGACCACTTGGTCAATTTCAAAATTGCATTAGTCGATTTAGTCAACAGTCAAATTATTTATTAGTCGTAACAACACTGGTTTTTATGTATCTCTTTCTTCATTTAAGTTCCAAGATTAGAACGATTTTTTTTTATTGACATTATATCAACTTGCAGTTCTTCGATAGGTTGCGTAAATTTAATTTTTTTACCTTTTTTTATGCAGTGACAGATCCAGCATTTTTTGGCGTTTGAGCTAACTTCCAGACATGGAGCAAACTTCAAACATGGTATATTTATACATATGCCAAATAATGATGCTTTGCAAAAAATTGCGATGATTGGAGACTGGAAAAAACAAAAGCCCTAAAACTTTATCCGCTTAAACTTGGTTTTAACTTCTTTACAAGAAGTTTAAACCAAATTTAAACTTCTTGTAAAGAAGAAGTTTAAACCAAGAGTTCAGAGCAAGCCTTTATAATTTTAAATAGCTATATATATTTAAAAAATGTTTATAAGTTAAAAGTTGAAGAAATTTTTTTTTTCAAAACAGTTTATTTTTAATCACTTTTTCTTGAAGTTGTAAACTACTGCTATTACTACTATTTTAAATGTTTTTTGTTTTTTTTTCTTTAATTTTATAATTTTATGATAAGAGGATAATTAATTGCTGACGTAACTTTATAGGAAGGAGGGGGTCTCTGAAAGTTTGACAAGTCACGGCGCACGTAGGACTATTTGACGATTTTAGCTGGCCAAAATTATTTCTCTCTTTTTAACAGCTGAAAACTTTACTATATGACAAGAAATTGTAAATTAAATGTTTTTTGTACAAATCCAAGCCAGTGGCGTTCAATATAGGGGAAAGATGGGTACTTTAAGGATTACATTTTATTATACTCAATAGGATTTGAGGAAATAAAAGATATATTATTTTTCAAACTTTATTATGGTAAATGACATACTATATTTTGATATTTAATTAGATTCCACTTTGTCATTGTAAGAATATTCTTCATTTTCGTTGTTTTCAGTGTCGGAATCTTGGACTTCTCCAGGAAGAAGCAATTCCACAGCTTCTTTTGAAAAAGGCTTTGTAAGTTTGTGTTTTTTTTTCCCAATGCTGGACAACAGAGGGTCGGATGTTAACAATAACCTATTGATGATATCTTGGTTACAATCTTTTCTAGAAAATTTTCTAGCATAGCTAAGTCTGTACTCCCGGAAATGTTTGTTTCTGGCTTTGGCAGCCTCTTCCGACAATTGTCCAATTGGCAAAAGCGCATTCTCTACTATATCAGGACCATGTACTAAAACTTTATGCAGAGTTGAAGTCATTGGACACCAGGGGTATAGTTCAACATAAAGCTTTGCAGTATCCAAAGTATACTGTTTGAACTTTTCTACATCAATCTTGTGGCCACTGGAAATTACTTCTAGGATAATTTTCATTCTGGAAATTAAACGGAAGTCTACCCCAGTGATATCTGCAGATGTTTCCGGGTTGTTGAAGAATCTCCTGCTTGTGTTGTCGTTATTGGTATTCCCAAATCCAACCTTAGGTATGTCGACAAGAATGCCCATTTTGCTCTTGAATTCATCTTGGATTTTCTTTTTCCTATCTGAGATAAGTCTCTTCTCATCTCATTTAGCCTTTTCTGCCATTTTTTTACAGGCAATTTATATGATAGGTGAAGGAGACTTTCAAAATACCGTATTCTACCATGCAGAATGGATAGTCCAAATTTGTAGCTGCTTTGATTGTCAACACATGTTCTGTCCAAATCATTAAATTGTCTTTATGTTGCTCCACAAATATAACATCGCATGGTCGATTTAGTGGTGGTTGCTGCGTTACAGACTTTTCCGTCAATCATAGTTAACATCATCACATGTTCTACTGCTATGTCTTGAAGTTGAGTTGGTTTCAAGCCTGCAATTTTGTTTTCCATGTAAGCAATTTCTTCAGCTATTACATCAGCAGTTTCTTTTATGAACCTAATTCGAATTGGCCTGCAAAACCTTGGAGACGATGGTGTAGGGTTTTGCCAGATAAACTTTTTATTTACTCCACAAGTTAGCTGTAATGGAACCATTGAGCATTGAAATATACTGGCATCAGAATTAGAGTCATCCTCAAACTTTTGATTAAACTGTGTCTGCTGGGAGCCATCACAACCCCATTTGGTAGATAATTTCATATGTTTACGCCCACTTTCCGTTAGAGTCTTGATAACTTCTTCTAAATACAACACCAATCTTTCGGCAGTATGGTTTAACAGACTTTGTAAGTCTACTTTAGCTAAACTTTCTGTGACTGTGAACGAATCAGGATCAGGATAGCATGTTTTTTTTTGCTGCGATAGGCTTTTTTATACTTTCCCGCTCGTTTGGGAGATGTTTTAAGATCTTTGAGGACGGTTGCAGCACTTCTTTTGCCACTTGTTGTCAAACAAGTTTCAGCTGCAAAAACAATAGCTTCTGGTTCCACATCTTTCCTGAGCTGTTCTGTTTTTCTCCTCTTTGAACGTTCACTAGAATCGACAAAACTTTTTCTTGTTCGTCCGGCTGATGAAGGAGTGGATGGGGTACCCGGTATTTGGAAACTCTCTTGCAGCCAAGGGCCATGCTTCTTAATAAATATTTCATGAGTTCTGGATGAAGACGACCACATTTTTCTAAAAATAGCTTTCAACCGCGACATTTGACGTTTGTATACTGTTTTTAGTTCTTCGGTATATTGATTTCTTGATAACAAATTTTGATCAGCTAAGCCCATTTTTTCATTGAAATTTGGAGCCTCCTGCTGCTGAATACTGTTGTAGAAATCCAAACGAGAGATTGTTTTCATTCCTGATGACCCATCTAGAAAAAAAAAATTAAGTTGAAAAATTCATCTTGGACCTTGATGTGCTTAGAACATGATTGAAATTTATTTATATATATATATATATATATATATATATATATATATATATATATATATATATATATATATATATATATATATATATATATATATATATATATATATATATATATATATATATATATATATATATATATATAACCCTGACCTTAATGTGCTTAGAACATGATTAGAATTTAGATTGCATCAACAGGCAGTTGAAATTAAGATTTTTAAATAGCTAATGGTATAAACGCATAGAAAAACGAAAAAAACTAAAAGGGTTTCAATGCGCACTACAACTTTTTACCTTCTTTTATGCAGTGACAGATCCAGCATTTTTTGGCGTTTGAGCTAACTTCCAGACATGGAGCAAACTTCAAACATGGTATATTTATACATATGCCAAATAATGATGCTTTGCAAAAAATTGCGATGATTGGAGACTGGAAAAAACAAAAGCCCTAATACTTTATCCGCTTAAACCAGTCTTTTAACAATATTTTGTATAAAAAGTTTTTTTTTTTCAAAAACTTAGATAAAGCAAATAAATAAAATATGCTAACGTATGTAAATTCGTAATTATAAACTTCGATCACCCGCAGTTTTGATGCAAGCAATCAAAGCCGGTAATGTCTGATTTACAAATGTCTTTTTAAAAAGTAACTTTTAACTTTTAAGCACATTTAAATGTGTTTTTACAAATTTTTGATTTTATTAACTTCTTTTTTATTTTTCAAAGAAATTGTTTTAAAACCGGCAAATTCAATGCCCCGATGACCTTTTTCATGAAAATCGGAACAATCCCGGAAAACCTTGGAAAACGGTACTCCCCTAATATTTAGTTTTATATTAATAATAAATGTTTATAATTATCACAGATATTTAGCTGTGATCGTGATTTTGAAGCTATTTTTAAGCAAAAAACAAATATAAGAACCAAAATTAGTTCTTTTCTAAAATAAAAACTTTTATTTTCCTAAAATAAAAACTTTTATTGTAGAAAGGCTCTAAATTTATTTGCATTATTAAACTTTAATAGTGCTAATAAATTTAGACCCTTTCTCAAATGAAAGTTTTTGTTTTAGAATATTTATTCTTTCATTTAAGTTATATTTATTCTTTTAAAGAATAAGTTAATTGTAATTTGGGAAGTTTAAAAATTTTTTAATTTTTCCATCCATTGGTTGACATTAACCACATGCAATTACTTAGTAAATGATTTACTTATTATGTTTATGATTTATATCATTTATTACATAAACTAAAATATAATATAGTATGTGTAATGCATCAATACATTTAACGCAGAATACATTGTTTCTAATTTAGCATATAAATAAATATGAGGAAATATAGATTAATGTAATTCCATACCAAGAATACAGCATTAAAAAAATGAGTTCAAAACAACCAGAGCACTTAGCACCACCTGAAGTAAGTTAAGTTTTGACGAATTTATTTTTTTTATTAATAATGGTCTAATAATAATTTTTTTATTAATGGCCAGGCTTGTAAATATCTATAGTATTTTGCATTAGTATTTTAGGTAATAATTATATATGTTTATAGTGGAAATTACTATTTGTAATTTTTTGATTAATCATGTCTTTTTTAAAAACAAAATAACAATGTTATTTTTAATTAGTTTTACAATAAACTAGAAGCCGAAAAATACAAGTCTAAGTAACTACATTTATAATTATATATATATATATATATATATATATATATATATATATATATATATATATATATATATATATATATATATATATATATATATACATATATATATATATATATATATATATATATATATATATATATATATATATATATATATATATATATATATATATATATATATATATATATATATATATATATATATATATATATATATATATATATATATACATATATATATATATATATATATATATATATATATATATATATATATATATATATATATATATATATATATATATATATATATATATATATATATATATATATATATATATATATATATATATATATATATATATATATATATATCACACACACACACACACAACTGTTTACAAACTTGCAAATCTTTATATTTATAGTTGTATTTATATTATATAACTATTTTATGATTTTTAAATCCTGCTTTTTTTTTTACAATAGAAAGAATAAAAAAAAACCATCTAGGAAAAATAAAATCAAAAATCAAACTTATATTGTAAAGTTTTATGTTCAGTACTAATTTAATAGAGATTCAAAATCAAATGACTGAACAGGTTTTAGAACTACTTAATTTACCTGCTGATAAGCAATGTATTTCTTCCCTTTTTTTCGCATTAAACATGGTTCCACCTGTTTCTCAGATCTAAAGGAGTAATTTTATTTTACGCTACCACTAGAATGATTACTATCTAAGGTTAAAAAGCCTATCCTACTCTTTAAATTCTCAACAAAATTGAGGGTTTTGTAAAAGAGTTTAATTTTCCCTAGATAAGTTGCCATCCCTAAAGCTAAAGATTTTAGGACTGTCCACTATGCCATCTTTTTTTTCTTTTTTGAACATAGGGAATAAGAATTTATTTCTATCAATAGTATGTCCAAAAATGGCTTTTATAGATTTTTAAAAGTTTTCATAATGTCTCTCATTATGAAAACTTCCAAATTTTCAAGTATTTCTCAAGCCATTGAAAATTTAAAGGGTACCTAATATTATTAGGGAATAAATTCTTTTCAAGTGTGTCAACCTGGTTCTTGATAGAAACTAAACTTAATAAAAATTACTATGTAACAATAAAATAAAATATATATATATAATAAAAAATATATATATGTGTATATATATATATATATATATATATATATATATATATATATATATATATATATATATATATATATATATATATATATATATATATATATATATATATATATATATCAGTTATGGACAGAAAAGACGTGTGATCACACTCTATTCCTAACCCATAAATTTATAAAATAATCAAATTATTTATATTATTAATTTTTTAATTTGTTCATGTATTCTTTCTTTTGATTGATCTATAAAATAATACAAATAAATTAATATTAATCATATAAATATTTTTATTTAGACATTAAAAAAAAAAAGAAAAAAAAATTTAATTGCTACTATAAACAAAATCAGTTGGAAACTCATTAAACCAGCAACTATTCAACATTAACGTAATTGCAAAACATAAATAAAAATATTTTTTTATTAGAGTTTTAATTTTTCAGATTTACATTTGTTGTTTTTTTCTTTAGAGCAGTTGATTGTGTGTTTTAGTTGACACTGATGCAAGTGAAATGAAGCTTGTTTCAAAGAATGTCTGAAATAATTGTGTTTATTGAATGGTCAAAAATTTTCAAAAAACCGCAATACTAGGAGTTAATAGAAAAGGTTAAATCATCTAAAACCAAAGTAGTATAAAGACCTGATAATTATTGCGGAAAAAAATGCATGTGTATTCAGGTTTGACATGATAACACTTGAAGAAACGGAAAACTTATAGGAGAGGAAGGTAAAGTGAAGATTAGGTTTTATGTTCATTGGGAAAAGGTATTTTAACTTTTACATGATACATATGTTGCAATTGGGCACAGTGGTCAAAACCGTATAGAAAAAGAGTTACAAGTATAATAGCATCATAAGAAAAATGATTGTTATCTAATTTTATGTATGATGTGCAAAAAAAAACAACAAAAGTGTTACAAAAAAATTAGTTTAAAATTATTTATATGACTAATACTAAGTAAAAGCATGAACTCAAGATATCTAGTCAATTTAATCAACATGTAAGTCACCAGCTGATAAACAATATAAATTTATTCTTGCATACTAAAATCAAATATATTTAGCTTTGACTTTTTAAAAGCAAAAAAAGAGTATCTTATGTATTTTTTGATTTTTTATCTTTCTTTTGGTGTGCTTGCTAATTTGCAAAGTGATAATGGGAAAGAATTTGTTAACAATATTGTTAAAAAACTAAGTAACATGTGGCATGAGTTAATGATGGTGCATGGGAAGCCAAGACACTCTCAGGGCTTTGTAGAGCGTGCAAATCAGGGTGTGGGAAATGTTTATGGCTATAAGACAATAGAAGCAGAAAATGTGTGGAAAGGTTACATTTTATTCAGATTATTAAGATTAGAGCTCATCATTGTGGCATTTAATGAGGATATTGATTATCAAGGTATAACTCTAAAGTAATGGGTCTTATGTATGTGTTTTATGACTGAGCCAAATTTGAAACTATTACAGTATTAATAAATCTGAAAAAGAAAGCATTTTTTATAACTTTAGACAAATGGACAAGTAAAAGAAACAATAGTCTAAATTTGGTTTCTGTGATGCTTAAAGAACATTAAGAATTAGTAATAATATATAAACTTATAAATTTCCACTTGAATTTGGAAACTGGCATAATGTCATAATTGCTATTATTAATAATAGTGCTGCTGTTATCACAAAATTTGTCAAATTATCTTGTATAATTAAACACATGCTCAGGCCTCGGCGGTAATAAATGAGTATGAGTGCTGAGAAAAGTTCTCCTAAAACAAACTTGGGGAGCTGTGTGAGCTGCTCCTCATTTAAATCGGCACTTTTTTTATATTTAATTTTTTTTTTGCAACAATCGTGCTTTTTAAAAAGCATTGCAGAATATTATGCAATTTTAAAATGGTATTGTGTTTTTTATTTTAGTTACAACAATAATTATACTTTTGTAAAAAAATTTTTACTTTTGCGAGAGCTGTAAATTGCTCCCGTAAACCATTTTAGGGGAGTGTGGGAAAGGGGGAGAGCTAAGGCACCGATGCTTGCATACTATTCACACTTAATCCACTTAGCAGTTACTGATGTATTGTATAAACATAAAAAAAAAATGATCAAATCTAAAGCTGATGTAAATAGTTGGAATCAGAAGATGAAGACAAATATAAAAATTATGAAGATCCTCTTTATTATCTCAGCAACTGAGAACATCCTATTCCTATTTTGTTTGACAATTACAAACAATCAGCTTTGAAAATCAGAAATTTATTTCAAAAATCTCCAGTTAGACTTCATCAAAATTATATCAAATTATAAAAAAGAAAAGAATTGAATTGAATTCTTAACTGTAAGACAAAGTGGAATCGTATTTTAGAAAACAATTGGTAGATTTCTAGCAGTAAAAGATTGGGTGGTTTTTTGGTTATAATCATTGTTTTCAAAATCAGCACAAAATATACAGAGGTTTCATACAATAAGTGCCTAAATTAAACTAACCTAAAACCTTTAAATGTTTTCCACCTGACCAAACATTACTATGGTTTCATATATTACCGCACCTTATACCAATTTTGCTCTAAGTGAACATATATGTTCTAGTTATTCAAATTGTTTAAACCATAATATAACAATTTTTTCAAAAATGTTATGCTGAATTCAGTATTTTATTTTATTTTTTTTCTAAGAAGAAAATTTTTTTTATTAAAAGTATTAAAATTTTGTGTGTGTGTATACATATGTATGTGTGCGTGTGTATATATTAAAGTGGGCTGAAAATTACTTTTGTGTTTGAAAATTTCTTGTTACATCCCTAGTTCTATTCTATATAATAAATAATACTGGATTTGAAAAATTTTTTTAGAAAAATTGACCCTTGAATATTTAACGGGTCACTAATATTATTTGAAAAAAATTTGTTTAAATGTTAACCTAGTACTCAAAAGAAAAGAAACTTTATAAGTTTTGAAAAAAGTATATATTTAATAAAAACTTGTCTAAAAAAGTTTATTGAAAAAACCATGAAAAGCATAGAAAAAACAATATCATTCGTCTAAAATGATGTTTAAATAAAATGATTACTATTTTTCGAAATTTTATAAAGTTTTGCTTCTTTTGAGTATCAGGTTGATATTTCTGATAACATTAGAGGCCCTAATATTATTTTAATTGACCCTTAAAAAAAATATTTTTAAGGGTTGGTTAGAATCCCTAAAAATATGTTTTATTCATAGTCTAGTGTCGTTTTATTATTTTATGGAAAAAAAAAATAAGAAAAACTTATTGTTCTACTTGTGTTAATAAATTCCTGATAAGTAATAAGATAACTAGTATAATAATAATAATTCCGACTGGTATTCAAAGTGGTTGCCTTCCTTAAAGACCAACTTAACATCAAGAAGAAATCTGAAGGTGTTTGTAGTAGTTGTTTCTCTTTATTTCATTGGTGAAAATTGAGGATTGAGATATGATTTAACTCACTGACCAACGAAAGAATTCTATGGCTTTGATGATTAACAAAGCAACTAAATTATTTGACTGAAAAAGATGCAGAAATATCTGAACTTAAAGAGAAAATGAAATGACTAGAAGAGAATGAAAATTTATCCCCTTCAAGTTCACCTGCTGCTTATTACAGCCATATTGCTAAGCAATTAGCCAAACCAGGTTCCAACTTTTATAGCAAACATTAAAGTGGCAAAAAGTCATGAAAAATTATCCAGTAAAAAGTCTAACAATGTTGTAATTGTTGGTTTGGCTAACTCACAAAAAAGTGTAAATGAGGGCTGTAAGATCAGGCTTGGACAGGAATGGCATGCGATCGAATGCTATTAATTTCCATGCAAATGATTTTTTTTGTTGTTGACAACTTGACCATGACTGTTTATATGTTTTGATGATTTAAATATTTCAGGAATGCATTGAAAAAAGAAATGCTAAGCAAAACAAGGTAAAAAAGAATTAGAGAAAAAAGATAACAATTTCTTATGAAAAAGAAAATATATAAACTTTAAAATTAAATTCAAACCAAAAATTTCTTGTTACATTTTTAATTGCGTTTGAAATAAATTACTTTAAAACTTATATTTTGAAACATTTTATTAGAGTTATGCAAAACACTTTTACAAATTACTTCTAATGATTGTTTAATAAATAAACAAATTTTATTTAAATTATTAAAACGTGAAATTATTGAAAAGAAAAAAATATAATATTTTTTAAATTCAACATTATGAAAAAATTTTTCATGATGTTGCAAAAAAAAAGTGTACTTTAATAATATTGTAGTCTTTTTAAAATCGCAATTTTTAATCATTTCATTAGTAAGTCAAGTTTAAAAAAAATAACCTTTAAACAATTCTTTGTAAAAATAGAAACAAATAAATAAAGGAATTAAATCATTTCATTGCATCATGAAGGTTTTACTTTAACTTATTCACAATTTAAAGTAACTTTAAAAAATAATTTTTTAATTTATAGGTGACAGTAAACATCATTATAAATCCTGTATATTATCTAGGATTTGTTATGATTACATCGATTCAAGGTTCTAGTTTGAGCAGGCAATCTTTTTATTAAAATTTTTTTTTTTTTTTTTTTTTTTTTTTATGTCATCAGATTATGAAAAAAATTTTTTCTAGAGAACACCAGTACAACTGTAAATTTTGATCTTGAATTGAACCAGTTTCCTCAAATTTATTCACAATATTTTAAATAGTGGATTTTGTTGGAAAATATCTTCTTCCATATTTTTTTCAAAATATTCTTTAAAATTCTGCATAATTTTCACTAAACTTAAAAGAATTTTTAATAATGAACTCAGTCAATCATGTTTTTCTGCATATTAACTAACCACAATATTTATACTTGACCGCTGTCAATAAACAGAAACCATTTTGGTACAAAAAATGTAAATTGCACAAAATTAAAAAAATTTATTCAAATTTAAACACTTTGTATATATAAAGCCCTCAGAATTGATAAAATCAGGTCGGTAATAAATTGCCAACCTTATGCTGTTAGAGGTCAGCATGAGGTTAATTAAAAAATTTATACACAAAGATATAAAATATATATATTAAATTTATATAAACATATATATTATATATATATATATATATATATATATATATATATATATATATATATATATATATATATATATATATATATATATATATATATATATATATCAGTGGTGTACACTGGACTTTTAGATGTTTGAGTTTTGACACTTACAGGTATTGTGCAAACTCCAAACTTTTGTATGTTCATGCATGTCAAATGAGAATGTTTTGCAAAGAATTGTGGTGATAAGAGCTTGGGGACAAAAAAACTCCAATTTTTGGGCCCACCCAGCCCTTAACGTGGGAGCAACAAGTTGATAAAATAATTTTTTTAGTATTTTTATCTGAGTTTATATTCATCAACAAGTTTCAAATATCATCCAATAATTTCTTATTTTTCGAAAATTATGACCATATAAAATTTTAACCCTCCTCAATTTGAGGGGGCTGTAAACTTTGTAGGGTCATAAAAACTAAAAACTAAGAGGTTGTTGCATGAAATTTGAAATTCGTAGTATGAACATACAAAAGTTTGGAGTTTGCAAAATACGTGTAAGCGTTGTAAAACGCTTACACGTATTTTGCAATACACGTAAAATTTATATATATATATATATATATATATATATATATATATATATATATATATATATATATATATATATATATATATATATATTTGTAGAAATAGCATGTGAAAGAAAAGTAAAAGGTGATCTATTGGAACATAATGCTGGAATGGGTGTTCCATTCAAACCACGAACATTTGATGCATGTGTCAGGTATTTTTAGTCTTAGATATACTATTTTCCATTGACAATAGTGATGATGATGATGATGATGATGATGATGATGATGATGATGATGATGATAATGATGATGATGATGAATATAAATTTAGTTAAGAATATTTTAAATAATATTTTATCAACTTGCGGCTCTCATGTTTGGGGCAATTGTTGCCAAGTTTTTAGGACTTTTTTGTAACCAGGCTCAAATCATCGTTAAGCATCTTTATTTGACATAAGTATAAACATATAAATGTTTAAACAAACTCTAAACATTTTTTATAGCAAACTATAGTTTGTTATAAAAAAATGTTAAGAGTTTGCAATCTTAAACATCAAAAAATGCTGCATCTCTATATACAACACAATTTTTTGGTTGCCCAAAAGTTTCTCCTTAATCTATTGACTATTTTAATCAATTGAAAAATTTTTAAAACAAGATTAGAAAATTTTTTTTTAATAAAATTTTTTTTTGCTTAAGCCAATACCCCTAGTTGATGTAGTGGCACTCCTTGCATGTTTTACTTTAGTCAATGTATGTACAATCTCCTGCTTAAATCCGTAAATAAACCAACTAAATGAAAAACAAATAAAATTGAACAATAAAAACAGTATAAAACATTAAAACATTAGAAAAATTAAAAAAACAAAAAGTGTTTTTGTTTTTGTTTTTGTTTTTAAAAAACAAAAACAAAAACACTTAAAAAACAATTAAAAAAAGCTTTCTAGTTATTATTATTAGGGTTTTTTAAAAAACGATAAAACTTAATGTACTTCCATATTAATTTAATTTTTTTAATTATTTCGATGACAAAATTAATTGTAGAGGTATCAAAATTATTGTTAAAAGATACTTTTTTTACTTTTAAAGTCTCTTTCGACTACGAGGTAAGGTTATTACGAGGATTTATGGGATCAATTTACAGTTCTCACTAAATTTTCCTCTCAAAAGTATAATTATCATTGTCACTAAAATGAAATATGCAAAGTCAAAAAAATTTTTTTAATTGAATAATAAATAGGCACGTTTTTTGCACAAAAAAAAATTTATCATCTAAAGATTTTTTTCACGGGGTAATAAATAACACTTGTTACATGTATATTATTGTAACATTAACTTTGTAAACATATGCTAGAAGGGCCTATTCTAGGAAAAAAAAATAGGCGGTACACTTCCCCCCCCCCCCCCCCCCCCCCGTTGTTTAAATTTTCACCTGAGTAATGATAGTTCTTCATGACTGAAACTAAACACACAAAAATAACCTAATGCTTGAAAATAAACAAACTGCTATTCTTTTTAAAATAATAATTTTAAATTACAAAGCTAAATTATATGCAGATGACACAAAAGTGGTAGCAAAAATAAATAAAAACAATAAAAATTTGCATAATAATTTCCTTTAAGATGACTTGGATTATCTCTTCAAAAGCTCGACTAAAGGGCTAATAAACTTTAATAGTGATAAACGCAAGATAATCGGGGTTGTCACCAAGTCAGGGAATTCAGGGAAATAAGCAAAATTTTAATGAAAAATCAGGTAAAATTAAGGAATTTTATTCTAGAATTATAGTGGCAACCCTGATAATGCACATAGGTCATGATAAATAAATACACTAAAATGCAATACTGAAGAATTAGGAAACTCTAAAAAAAATCTTAAAGAGACATCGTTAGAACGAGACTTAGGTTTATTTATTTCAAATGATTTAAAATGGAACATCATATTGAGTCTATTGTTAGCAAAGCTAATAGTAAGTTGGGGTTAATAAAACACGTGTTCAACTATATCGACAAAAGTACTATGAAACTATTATACATATCACTCGTGTGACCTCACTTAGAGTATGCATTTCAAATATGGAACCCATACTACATACTATAAAGATATTAATTTTACAGAAAGAGTCCAAAAATGACCAACTAAAATTTGTTTCACAAAAAGTATTAACTATGAACAACGGTTACAAAATATAGCTTTCAAATCAATATAGATAAAGTAAACTGGCATAACAAACTTGAAAGAATAACTAATGCTACAAGAGGACATGATCAGAAATTAAGAAGGCAATATGTAAGAAACTCACTTTCTAGGCATAATTTCTTCACCAACCGTGTTGTAGAAGCTTGGAATATCCTAGATCAAGTTGTTAATAATGCAACTTCTGTAAATGATTTTAAACAGTTTGGTAATATCCAAGTAATTTAGTGTTTATTATACTTTTTTTTTAATATTAAAACAAATTAAATAAAATGTTTAAAAAATTTAAACTGAATACTTAATGCTAAAAAAAATCGTTTTATGAAATGCTATTGAAAAATTAAAGTATCGTTGGTTTCTTTTTAGTTGCCTTCATTAAGATGGGTTGGCATTATATCAATAAAAATTAAAGATGGGTTGGCATTATATCATGAAAAATTAAAGTATCGTTGGTTTCTTTTTAGTTGCCTTCATTAAGATGGGTTGGCATTTACATTACAATTTCAACAGGGTTGCCAGATTTTCTTTAAACTAAAATGCTAAATGCTTGTCTAAAAAATGCCAAATATTGCCAAATTTTTATCAATAATGCCAAAAAAATGCTTAAAAATCTTAAAAACAGTAGAAAAACTCCATAATAGTACATTGAATAGTATCTTATCCATAAATTATATATTCAATAAAATTAATTTGTAAGTCATATAATCAGTTTTAACTAATCTTTTATATATTTTTCTACAAAAAAAACATGTTTAATATAAATTGTTTATGTATTTATTAAATAGATAATTATATTCACTAATAGACATTCACTCAACTTTTAATTTAATGTAAATCTAAAGTTTAAAAAGATTAGTTGAAGAAAATTTCAGAAAAAACTCTGTTAAAATGAAAATAAAAAATGACTTTCACATTGAATGTCTCAATATCAAATTTCCTTTAGTTTAAATCATTAAATAAAGTGAGATCATCTTGAACTGATTCATCATCATCATAATACATGTCCAGTTCAAATTATATAAAAAATTTTTAGTGATCTTAAAGTCTTTACAACATTTGTTGCAACTAGCTAGGTAGGCTTTTACTTGCTCTACACTACTGAACAATTTGTCTGACATTCTGTTTCTTGGTTTGTTTTTAGCATAAGTAATAAAAACCACGTTCCACAAAAACGTTTGTTATAGGGTGAATGAGACAAGTTAGACAATAGTCTGTTAGTTCATTAAATGCTGCATCTCCTAATGTATTTTTGTAGTGGAGAACTGCAGTCCAGAAATCAGTTGTATTTTTTGGTATGCAAAAATTTTCAAATATTTCTGAAGTAAACCTAACTTATTTTTCTGTACTGATCTTCAATGCTTTGTGCCTTATCCTTTATAATGTCCTAAAGTTAGATGAGTGAGTGGCACTTTTTATTCAGAAACTTTGATGATTAGAGGAATGATAAACCTTGAAAAGTTTTTTTTGTTTTCAGGTAGATATTGATCAAGCTCTTTCGAAAGTCGCAAACAAAATTGAAGACATGTTAAAATACAAAGTGAACACGTTATGGAGGCAATAGACTTCTTGGTTGTTAAGAACACATTTCAAACACAAGACCAGTACAATTTCGAACACATGACCAAACTGAGCTGTGAACTCCAATGGCATTTAAAATTACATCTGAGCTATATCCAATGCAGTTTTTAATAACAAACCAACAGGCTTCAACTTTGTTTCCAAAACAGCAAAAAGATCTGCACAAGTGGTTGATATCACAACAGTTAAACTTGTCGTTATCGATAACTGATTTCTGTTGATCTGAATAGTATCGAGCACAAATGTAGAGATGTTTTGTCAAATAAACATCAGTTGGTTCATCGATTGGAAAAATGCTCATCTGTCATAGATTCAGAAATTTATGATTCAATTGAAATTAAATTTTTAATATTTTGGGTGCATTTGGTTCAATGCAGATGAAGGTTTTCCAAGGGACTATTTTTTCCATAAAGAGAAATGATTTCTCCATTGTTGGGGGAGATTTCAATTTTTGGTTTGAATTTCAACATTCAAGGTGAGCCATTGTTGAATCATTGATGCACACACAAAGAGGAAGATGAATATCTGCTTCACAGTGTGGTTTCTTTAATATTAAAGGAAACATAATCTTGTTTTTGTTAAAATAATGCCAGTTTTACTAAATTTGGCATTAAAATATGCCAGTTAGCAACTTTATTCAATAATAGAAAGATTAAAGAAATACAAATGTGCAATTGATAATTTTGAATTTATTTAAAAAAAATTAATTTATTGCAATGACTTCTTATTGGCAGGAAAAAGCTATGGGAAAAAAATAAAATAAAAAGATAAAAAAAAAGAAAAAAAAGTACAGTTGGAAGAGAAGATGTTATTACAATTTTTCACAGGAAGACGTGCGATCGCACGCAATTATATGACCACACTAAAAATAATTTGTTTTAACAGTTTGACCACAGCTTTTGACATATTTTCAAAATTTAAAAATGCTCTACAAAAACTTACTTGAACTTATCTAAAAAAAAAACTTTAAAAAAGAAAAAAAAATCTTCAAGAAAGAAAAAAGAAAAAAAATACTAAACTAAAGGAAAAACACAATATATATATATATATATATATATATATATATATATATATATATATATATATATATATATATATATATATATATATATATATATATATATATATATATATATATATATATATATATAGATATATACATATATACATATATACATATATACATATATACATATATATATATATATATATATATATATATATATATATATATATATATATATATATATATATATATATATATATATATATATATATATATATATATATATATATTGACTAATTTGTTTAAAAGATTGACCAATTTGTTTAAAAGTTATGATTGAATTAAAAATTACCAAAATCTGAAAAATTTGTGTATCAGGAGCCTACAGCAGTTTTTTTTGATTTTTGACAAACCATAACTTTTTAAATAAA